TGTCATATGTTGTCTCAGCTATTGTAATGTTAAAAATTCATTTTTTTCACTAGCGTGCGGGAAAGTTCACCTTTCCGCACTCATTTCAGTGATGAAAGAGTCACTTTTCCGCACTGAGTGCGGGAAAAAGTTTTTTCCGCACTCAGTTTTGGAAGCGACTAGAACTGCAAACTTGAATCTACTACCATCAAAATCCCGTCACAGGTATGAAAAGGAATATTATCTGTTTGAAAACTGGTGCCAGAATAAGGGAATCATAGGTTTCAAAGAAGACGTTTTTTTGGCTTATTTCGCTGAAAATTTCCAAAACATGCAAGCCAAACACTCTTTGGTCCAGGTACTCAATGTTAAAAAGTGTAATCAAACTAAAAAAAAAACTCGATTTGAGCAAGTTTTTTAAGGTCACGGCATATATAAAAAACAAAACATTGGATTCAGGCCAAAAAAGGCAAACATTTTCTTGAAAGAAGAAATATTCCAGTTTATAAATGAAGCACCTGACGAAATTTATCTTCATAAAAGTATTTAATAATAAATGTTTCTTCATGTTAACACTTGGGTTTTTTCCGCACGCTAGTAGAAAAAATAGTGTACCCAACACGTGCGTGAAGCGACTTTTCCGCACTTGTTAGGTGAACTACTATTTCCTACGAGCGTGTCTAAAGGTAACTTTCTCGCACGATTTTTCGTTTTGAAAGTTGTATTTTTCCATATTATTTTACTTTTTCGCACGATTTCCACTGTTCCGTACGATTTTATCGTGGGTAATACCACGAGATTTTAGATCTACACTGAAAGAACAGTTTGGTTACAATAAATAAATATGATTAACTGTTACCAAATCCGTTATTGAAATATGGCTTATTAAACGTTTGTTTAAAAAAAACAAATTATTTGTTCACACCCCCATGAATAAGCCTTGTGCATGGTTAAATTATGATTATTTCATGAAAATATTCATTTGTTAACTGAGAATATATATTTCTTCACCCACAACAAACAATATTTATTATTTCAAAATCTTTGTTTTTAGTAACCAAATATTCATACATAAGTACAGCATGAAAAGAAACCTTTTATTGATAATTAATAAATATTTTGTTCACTGTTATAATTCAATGTCTTCATTTCAGAAAATTGCTTATTGATTTATTAAATTTCCTGATATTATTATTACCACCACTCGTGGATCTCTCCGCGAGGGAGTGTTTCTAAGCCTTATATCAATTACAAATTTAGTAACAGTTAACGAATATTATTTATATAAGTATATAACCAAACTCATCAGCTCTCAGCTATGATGGCATACACACGTTTCCATGTACATACAGTGTGTCCCACTTGCCATGCTCACCATGGGTATCTTTTTAACGGTGAGAGAAACGAGGTCGGTTAAATGACACCAAATGTGGAGTTTGTCAAGGCCAACTATAATGTGAAAAAATATTTTAATAAAATCTATTCGTTTTTGTTTTATGTGCAAAAAACAGATTTTGATCATTTTCATGTCTCCTCCGTAACTTCTTCATTTATGAAAATATTCAAATAGGAATTTCACATTCTCATGGCAGTTTTTCAAAATGATTTCGAAAAAAATATGAAATTTATACCAACTCTTCTAGAATTTGAGATGTCAGCACCAACTTCAGTTTTTCAAATGTAGGTCATAGCTCACTATGACTTAGTTACAAATAAATTTTTCTTCTCTTACAGATGATATGTCGCAGTAATGGTTTTGTGTTGATAACAACGGAGTAATTGTCATTTATACAAAAACAAAAAATGTTTTGGATGCCGCCATCTTGAATTCATAAATTTTAACAAAAAAATCATGATCTCCGACCTCAAAAACCCCCACTTACCAATTTTGGATGTAATCGGACCAAATCTTGTTCGCCATCTTGGAGCAGCCATTTTTTAATTTCAGCGAAAATTCCATAACTTCGATTAACTTGAAATTTGGCATAATTTCGGTGACAATTCATTATGGAATTTTTGTAGAAATTGAAAAAAAAAATGGCTGCTCCAAGATGGCGGACAAGATTTGGTCCGATTCCATTCAAAATTGGTGAGTGGGGGTTTTTGAGGTCGGAGATCATGATTTTCTTGTTAAAATTTATGAATTCAAGATGGCGGCATCCCAATCATTTTTTGTTTTTGTATAAATGACGATAACTCCGTTGTTATCAACACAAAACTATTACTGCGACATATCATCTGTGAGAGAAAAAAAAGTTATTTGTAACTAAGTCATAGTGAGCTATGACCTACATTTGAAAAACTAAAGTTGGGTCTCAAATATTAGAAGAGTAAGTATAAATTTCATATTTTTTTCGAAATCATTTCGAAAAACTGCCATGAGAATGTGGAATTCCTATTTGAATATTTTCATAAATAAAGAAGTTACGGAGGAGACATGAAAATGATCAAAATCTGTTTTTTGCGTATAAAACAAAAACAAATAGATTTTATCTAAATATTTTTTCACATTATAGTTGGCCTTCACAAACTCCACATTTGGTGTCATTTAACCGACCCCGTATCTCTCACCGTTTGAAAGATACCCATGGTGAGCATGGTAAGTGGGACACACTGTATATAACTTTCTTTCAAATTCATGCAAAGCAAATGATATTAGAAAATACTCATGCATACTACATAGGTATTCGCACCTACTTACGTTCAAAATGTTCCAATATCGATTGATTAGCACCACATGCACGCACTGTTTTCTTTTAAACTTACTAAATGTTGTAAAATAGATGCACCTCGGGATGCACTGATAGTCGTCTGCCATTTTTTTTCATATGTGATGTCGTACCTATATGAAATTATCCCAAGATGCTAATTGTAGACGTAAATAAACATGTCCAGATGTAAACAAACACTCACTGTCATATAAGGAATTGAACTAATATAACCATCACACTTCATAACTTTCGCGTTGGTCGAAATCACAGGTAAATCAGGAACGATTTCACAAAGATGCACACGGTATCTAAGATGGAAGCTAGACTAAAATGATGGCCCATGCGCATGACAGTTTTTTAATTATAACCAAATGTATTGTTATAATTACCAAACGAAGAATAAAATGAAATATCCATTGTTATCCTTCATATTACGAATATTTATGATAAACAAATGTATATCATAATGAATAAACACATAGATTTATGAACAGACACTGTATCATTGTTAATTATCACCAAATCACATTATAATTATAAATTCATCTTATTGATTTTCACTTCATGAATCTGCGTAATAGATGAATTATTAATTATTAAAAAATGTTCACAATGAACAAATATGACAGTAATAAATCATTTATTGTTTATAAATGAAGCATAAAAACAGATACGATTTTGATGAATAAGCCTTTTCAATTATGAATATGGCTAATTAATTATAAACAAATTTGACGTTAACAAATATTTGATAATTATTACTGAGATTTTTCTTTCGGTGTAGCATGATATTTTTTGTGGTTGTTTTCGAATACTTACTTTCATCGGCAAATTAACGAAAGCTGTTCTGAACAAAATTAAGAGAGCGTACATTGTTTTCACCGAACGTATTTTCATAATCTTCCCCATTCTGTCTCTTCATATTGATGCCCCAGTTCATCAATATTCCTGCCACATTTTTCACTGACTGTTCGGTTTCCAAGTTTCGTTGTTAACAAAATGGAGGAATTACTTTTTTTCGTAATATCTGGAGTTGATTTTTCAACCTCCTTCACTACTTCTGCCTCACAAATATTTCTGAATCTCCAAATACCTACTAGAATATCATTTGCAGTTGAATTCTGTTTCTGACATTTACAATAATTAATTGTCAAACTGATGCGACGCGCAATACTTGATAAACGATCACTAAATTCTAGCGTTGCTATGGTAACGTAATTTATCCGATTTTCTTATCACCTTGCATTTCTGTTTCTTCCTATTTGAGTGGAATGGTCGATCAAACCGTGCGAAAAATAAGTTACTTTACCGCTATAGTGCTGAAAAAGTTCTTCTCCGCACGAATGTATTGTTGAAAATTATGATATTTAGGACTAACTGAATGATCCATGTAACTATTCTGGCTTATGTGTAATTTCGTCTTGTCTTGTTTATTGAAAACCAGTTTTTTCATTAATAATTTGAACAAAAACACTCGTAGGAAAATTTCTTTTCCACCCTTTTTCCACCGCTCGAACTCTACCCCGCATCAATGCACTGCTTTCCTCACTTGTGAGGTAAATAACAACAATAACTCTGTTTATGTGAAGTAGGTCTGTACATATCAGATAATTCGCCCAAAAATGCCAGTGCGTTTGATATACAAGTATTGAAAACTAATAAGAGAAATTCAATCGATAGTCAATGTAACAAAATTGAAAAAAAAATTGAAGAAGAGGATTGTAGGAGTATCAAAGGAACATCAAATTTTCATCTAGCTTGGGATGTTCTGGAAGAGGGTATGCCCCCGTTCAATTGCAACATGGGTACCATACACTTGTAATCCTGGCACCACCTTGGCGCCCTAGAATTGGTTCGATTCATACTATACACAGAGCTATACACTGAAGGTCCTGCTCTTCCTCACCCAGCACATGTCTTGACTTCTGGGGAGTTCGTTCCCTACTCCGGAGTAGCGAAATACAAATTTTACAATATCTTACTGATCATCAAACGACAGAAAGAGCAATATGGATCATCACTGAAAAATTGTGCCTGCAGTATACCAACAATGGACCATTGCATCAGCAGCTATTTCGTATTCTCAGGATAATTTTTATAATTCCAATTTATCGAATTCAATTTGAAATCTCCTTGAGATGCTATGGACCATTGTCTCAAGCCTCAAGAGGTCAACTCACAAAATGGCGGCTAATGGAAGAACAAACGAACTGCTATGAAAAAAGTTTAATGAATCCAAATATGGTATACAAAACATGTAGGAAGTGAATTTTTATCGATATTGTGCATAATGAACACTTATAGCTAGAGCTAGTTACAATGCATTCCGCCTCTACAATGAGCGTGAGATGAGTATCCGTGAGCTCTGCAACATTCGTCTTTTTCGGGGTTGATCCTGCTGCAGACCTGGTCACATGGTCCAACGCGGACTGATGCCTCAGTGGTGCTGATGACCATTGCGAAAGCAACGATCAGAAGGATGAAGGTTGCCTTGTTGAAAAGAGCCATTATTGAACTGAAAGAGAAATATATAATATAGAAAGCACTGACCATGAGGATAGTTATTTACCTAACAATTTCGGAAAGAAGTACTTTTCCGCAATAATCAGGTACAATGTTTTTTCTACGGGTGATTTTGTCCATATACTATTTATGAAAAAAAAAACGGTTTACAAAATACGAGATTTTATGATAATGCTACAAAATAACACCTAAGACAAAAAAGTTACATTGATCATTTAGTTAGTGCTAAGTATCCTCATTTTCAATAATACAAAAATCGTGCGGAAAAGTGAGGTTTCAGCACTGGTGCGGTGAAGCAATTTTTTGGACGATTCTATTGATAATTCCATTGAATTGAATTATGGTACCATGGCAACGTACGCTAATTGCATTTACTGTTCCTTCATCAAGTGCTGCGCGTTGCATCAGTTTGACAATTGTGAATGACGAAAACAGAATTGAATAGCAAATGATATATTCCAGTAAGTATGACATACACATTGTGGAGATTCAGAAATATTGGCGAGGCAGAAATAGGTAAATAAATTGAAAAATCGACCCCAGATAATACGAAAAGAACAATTCCTCCATCATAGGAAGCAATTTAGCTAATTTTGTAAACAACGAGACTCAGAAACCGAACAGACAATGAAAAATGTGGCAGAAATATTGTTCAACTGTGGCTTCAATATAAAGAAAGAGAATGGGAAAGATAATGAAGGATATACGTGGTGAAATCAATATACCTACCTCTCTAGTGATTTTTTCAGAACAGCTCTCGTTAAATTTCTAAGTTGTAAAAAATTTTTGTATATCGCTACTTCAAAGTTGGGAACCAACTCCCCAGAAGTCGAAACTTGTGCGGAGTTAGGAAGAGCGGGACCTACAGCTTATAGTGGAATCCGAACCACTTCTAGGGCATCGAGGTGCTGCCAGGATTACAACCATGAATCACACATTTTGAAGAGAAATGCTCAGCCGATAGCCGGATTCGAACCGACAGTACCTTGGCATCGTGAACGGCTATCTAGCGAATTTCAGCGCATATGCGGAGCCCACTAATGAAAGTAAGTATTCGAAAACAACCAAAAATATCAGGCTATCCCCGATGAGATCGTGCGGAAAAGTTGAAATCGTGCGGAAGAGTGAAATCATACGGAGTACAATTTTCGAAACGAAAAATCATGCGGAAAAGTCGATTTTCCGCATGCTCAAAGATCAACTGAAGTTTTTTCGGAATGGTAAGCGAAAGAAGAATTGAAACAACATCTACCTCGTTGATGATGTTTATACTGTCAAATGATATTTGGTTCATCTTGGTTCTGTACAAAAGAGCAATTGGTGAACTGTGAAGTGATTACATCTAAATATAAGGAACCTACTATAAAGTTTTTTGGAGTATAAAACTTATTGAATGGCAGAAATTAGTTTTGAACTTTCTTCAATTCTTGTTGGAATAATATTATTTTAGAATTATCCGAAATTTGAATTTTTGTAAAATAAACCGAACATCATTTGAATGTGAAAAAAGTTGTAGGAGCTATCGAGTTGACTATATTAGATGGTTGCAGTTGATCTATCAATACTCCTCAGATTCTGATTGATGTACGGTTGAGTTTCAACACAAATTTAATCCACAAAAATAATTGGAAAAGGAAGGGAGTATAACAAGAATGGGAGAAAAAATAAATTACGATTGATTTGAAGTCGTGAAGTGAAACGGGGTGAGCTTTTAGGGGTGAAAAACGGTTAATCTCGATTTCTGGTCTTATATGGAGAAAAAATGGATCGCAAAGTTGTAGGTGATAAAAAAATCAATAACTTTTGTGAATACACTTTTTTCGAATAACCTCAAGATACATGTGAAATGTTCAAATAATCAAGTTATTAGTTTCTCATTTCTATCTTTTACAGAAGAAACCAAACCAAACTCAGTGAAGATTCACCTGTTCCATATACACTGTAATTTTTTTGATTCGAAATATTCTTTTTTCACATTTTTTTGACTCAATTTACAATCGAAAATTCTCGCGTCAAGATATCTGCTTTTTCGAAAAAGTCGGTTCTTTTTGTTCATTGAAATTACTACTTCCTGATGGTGTGAAAGATATATACATTACTAGCGTAACTCAAAAAATGCAAAGAAACAAAACCCGAATCCACATTTCTTTTTCAATCATTAGGTATGTACAATTTTGAGATATTCATTGAAATTTCTCGAAAAACGTGATATTCCATGTGACATTGATGAACAAAACAGTTTCAAACAAACAAAAAGATTGCAAAAAACATGCGAAAATAGTTGTTCTATATATAATGAAGGGGATTTCATCCTGAAAATGTGACTGTACTTCCTAGTTTTCATTTGCATTTTCTTAGAAAATTTACTACAGTTATGTATATTTCATTTCACACCATCAGGAAGCAAAGATTTTAACGAACAAAGACATTATTGATTCTTTTATAAAGCACATATTTCAACGCGAAAATTTTCAAGTCAAAATGAGGCGAAAATACGAATATTTTGAATCAAAAAAATCACAGTGTATTTGGGACATAAAGAGGTAGGTAGGGTTTTCTTAAAATTTCGTGAACAAAACATGTTTTTGTAGAAGATTGAAATTAGAAACCAGAAAGTTCGTTGTTTGAATTGTTCTCATATATCTTGAGGTTATGTGGAGAAAGTGATCGAATGAAAGTTAGGATTTTCTTATCACCTACAACTTTGCCTCCTGACTTTTTTTCATAGGGAGAAGCCGGAAATCGGGATAAACCGTGTTTTACCCTTGAAAACTCATCCCCTACCACTGACCTCAGATCGCCCACAATTGAGTCCTACTTCCATCTTCGATATTTTTCTTTCTTCTTCGATGTGTTTTATCCTACTTTAATTTTTTTTACCGCTTTCAAAAGCTTCAGCAATGATCTGATTAATTCGGGCTTGATATAATTATGTGGGCGTCATATTTATATGAGAATATATGTATATATGTATATTTGAGTTTATAGTTTCTCAAGATGAACAATATGCAACCATCAGAAAGTGATAAGTGGTTCATCATATATTTCGGTGTCTGAGTTTCATACAGCATATATGTTCAATTATTCACAAACTATTAACATTTCGAGAACACTCAATATTTCATCATCCAGTTTTCCAGAATACATATTTCGATGTGAAATGAAAATTGCCCTAGCGATCTAGAAAAATATGATCATACAAAAAACAAATTTCATGATTAGAGAAGCAGCACATTTTGAAGAATAACTATTTTCTGTTGCCTAGTTGAGTTATACATATTCGCATCATTGCATTTGTATTCAAAATATTACATTGAATTCCCATTTCAATCTGACATTATAATCGTAAATATATTTCCGAAAGCTTCCTCAAAAGTAAAATGAGTTTTCTTTCGAGTCCCATACCTAATAGCTGCAATCCTATACCTAATCTATGATCAGATATTTTTCGATATACACATTAGAAACAGTACATTTCTAATTCGAGCTCTTGAAAAACTATCCTGTTCTATGTTATATTATGAGAATAATGAATTGAAATGAGAATTTGAATTAACCAGCCGTAGATTTTTTTCAAGATATTTTGATTTATCATTCCAATTATACCTATTCATATTCCTTCTTTCCGGTAATGTTGGGGATATTGTTAATTTTGGTGATCTCTGTAGTGTATTGCTGACATTGAAGCCATGAATTAGACTATAGGTGATATGAGACGAAAAGACCGAATATAATGCAGGAATATTATTTTCTTCACTAAAATTTTACAATAATTCCACTAGAACATTTCATAATTATTATTGTTCATTAAAAACTCTTGTCATGTTGCGAAAAATTCAATATCAGGTCACCTCACCCCGTAATGTTCACGAACAATATTCCCTGTATAAAAGATTTTTCCATTGTATTCACGTACCTTTTTGGGTCAGTCTCAGTGTTGACGGTGAATATAACTCGATGAAACACTCTGGAGAAGAAGTTCTATTGTGTGAAGACTTGGATGCTTCTTTCACTATTTATACGTTCTTCAAGGCAATCGTCAACGTGTTTATCTTTGACTGGGTAATTCCAGTTGAGCTCATCGAGATAAACCATATACAAAACTCGCCTAATTTCTGATTTCTGAATATGATAAACAAAGTTGAAATAATGTTGGTTCCGAAAAGTGATATGTTAGGTGGTCATTCTGACTCTCGATTGGCTCGATTTGAACTTTGTGCATTAGCTAGAACATCATTGTTGGGCATGTTTTGTTCATTAAATGTGTCAGAGTGATGGATACGGTTTTGACGAGTTGACGAACTAATAACTGGAATTGAAACAGGACGAGAACACTATTTTGTTACGGCTTCAACATGTTGATCAATTTCTACGTATTATTCATTGGTCCCTAGTTCCTGTAAGCGAAAGATTTATCATAATATGATCACACTAGAACTGAAAATTACTTTCTGATAATGCTCGCAGCCCTGCTTGATACGCTCTGATCGATATTATCGAATTATTTCTCTTATTCATATTGGGCAAGCAAGAAATGAGTCTCTGTATATGAATTAGATTGTTTATCATGGAGACCGTAACTCCTTACCGAAAGCAAATATCACCAGAAATCACTAGAGTTGCAGCGCCATGCGTTGCCATATGGCAACGCTAGGCAGATTGAGATTCAAATAATTCCCTGACAGTCAAATTTTTAGCTATTAGGGTGAGAGACAGCCTACATGATCCGCAAAAGAACCGGTTGAGCACATGCTGCCATTTCTTTGTTGTGAGTAAGCTGTTTCGGCCACATGAATTTGTGAAACTTTGAGCTTACTTTGAACTGACGTAAAACATGGACGTCACGTTCGTGTACGTATCATCCTGTTTTCACGCATTTGATTTTGCGATTTTTGTTTGCATAATTATGTTGCACATGCTTCAAGTTAGGTATATTTTATGTGACATATTCAAAAAAATTGCAGGAA